TTTAATATAATTTAACCAAGTTTTACTTTTACTATTTAGACGTCTATCTAAACTCTTGATTTCGTCTAGCAACCTTAATTATGACTAGAAGTTTTAAATTATATTTTATTGAAAAATTATGAATAAATTCTTAATAAACGTTTTTGTAAACTTATATTAATCTATAAAAAACTATAGAAAAATATTCTGTAAATTTTTAATATTATTGTAAATAAAATTATTAGACAATATTTTGTGTTTAGACAAATATTTAAATGATAAAAGTAAAACTTGGTTAAATTATATTAAAATCTTATTAAAAAGCTGCAAAATTCAAAAAAAGATAAAACTATATCAAAGCTTATAAAAATAGTAAAACTTTATCAAATGCTTAGTAAAAAAATTTAACAAAACTAAAGGTTTAAATATTTAGTTAAATCAAAACTGAGTTTAAATAAGCAACTTTAATAATAAGTTTTACATAATATTATGTTATAATATATGAAATTTTATGTCATACATTTTCACAAGTTTACATATCATAATACTTATATAGTATTACATCATAATATTATAGAATATTATTAAAATGTAACTTTTGTAATCTTATAGCAGAATTGTAAGTTTTTATAATTATACTATGTAAATTTACATAATATTATATTGTATTATTAACAGAAGAAAGAAAAAAATATTTATATTTAAAAATTTATCAATATGTAAATGATCTATTTAAAGATATTTATTATATATAACCTGAAGAATATTAATATTATTTAATAAAATAATTTATTTATTAGTTATTTTTTAAAATCCATTAATTGATTATTTATATTTTATAATTCTTAAAAAATTAAATGAGTTTAAATACCAAATATTAATATTATTAGAATTTGCATAATCATTTATAATATTATTTAATATATAAAACATAATTTAATTAATAAAAAAAATTAATTATCATTAAACTAGGAAACGGTTAGGAAACCGTTGTTAAGTCCGGAACACCACGTATCGGCTCAAATATTGAGCGGAACATCGATCATTAAAGTGTCTGTTAATATATAGTTCTTCACTTCGTTCCGTATTTTATTAAGATCACGTGAGGTAAATTTTGGGAATGATATTGGGAATCACGATGGATCATCATTAACCACATTAGTTATTTACGGTTCGGGGTATAGATGGCCGAGTATGCTGTTGAACCTGACGATTTTTTTCGTAATAATTCAAAAAATAATTTATACTCATATCATTATGCAATATGCAATCACATCAATTAAATCATATTCACATGTAATAATAAAACTCCTTAAGTTTTTCTCACTTCATTCATTTTTAGTTGAAAACATCTTTCTAATTAAAATTATAGTAAACAATGCCATTCATAATTCGGTGTTTTCAATCATTTTTTGTATTATGTCTGTATTTCTTGCTTGGAATTATTCTTGCACCTTCTGTTATTATCGTTGAAATTATTTTAAAATGTAAAATGTTATGGAACTTTTTAATAGAAGTCAAAACAAAATGTATATTTATTCATTCATTTGTGATTGTTTTCTTTTCCTTTAAAAAGAGTAAAGAAAAGAAAGAGGAAAGAAATATTTCTTTGTACTATTGTAGATAACAGGTGTATTTTACTTTTTTTGGTTAAAAGGTTATCAAACCATCATCGAAATTCTCTATCCATCATCCTTTCATAATCGAATAAACCAAGTTCAGAGTAGGGATAATTTCACCCAAAACTTTGAAGTGATAACTGATGAAGAAAGAGATTCTTGCAAAGATTCGACAGAAGGGGAACAAAGCGATGTTGATTATATCCAAGATTCCCAAAATAACAAGTATCAAGTTGAAGAAGAAATGAATACAAACATTAATGAAGTCTGGTATGTAATATTATAAATTCGAAAATTTATATGGATTATTAACACGTATATATATATATATATATATTTATTTTATTTATTTGGATTTCTTTTTTTTTAATAAATAATAGGATTGAAAGGATGAATGGGTTGAATTTAGGTAAAGATTAACAAAGTATCAAATTTCTAAAGCCGGGTCTGATTTGCAATTATTCCAAAATGAATGTTCGGTATCACAAAGCAGAAAAGGTATACAAGACGCAGTAAATGTAAAATGTTCCCACTATTGTTTTAAAGAAACAATGAACATGTAACTAGTTTAAAAAAAACTTTGTGGAGAAATATAACGAAGATTCTGGCACCAGATTTGTTCTTTTTGTTTGTTATCTTTGTTAGGTCTGTGCGAAAATTATCATGGAAAGCACGCTTTCTTAACAAAGTAATTTAATTAATATATTTAATACATTCGATGCATGTAAAGACAACATGATGGTTACTATTAATCCACCATCACATATCTTTTTCCTCTTATGAGACGAGAAAAAATTGGCGGAAAGAAGCTCAATTTTCTTACAATTACCAAAAGAAATTATGTTAAAATGCACAATTACAAATTATACACAATCTTAAACTTATTGGTTAACAATGTCATTCAATGCAAATCGGATATGTAATATATTTTTGAAACATTTCCGAACACAATATTATTTATACTGGTTGGTTTGTTTTAATTTGCTTTATCTATTATTCTCTTTGTATTATATGACCATAATGAAGATCCAAACAGGAGATGTTTTGATTTTTGGTCAAAAATAGGAAAAAATAGCCAAACTGAAATTAATTATTTCCTTCCCTCCTTTCATATGAATGCATACCTATTGGATTTAAGCGAGTAATTTCGCATATGTTTACAAAGAATTGGCATGCGAATTATTTAAAGTTAATTTATCAGTTTAACGGAACTGTGTTCCGATTAAATGATAATATTGACGTCGATAATTGGTTAATCCGTTGGGCGTCTTTGCTTTGTGTTATAAATTTAAATATTCGGTTTAGAACAGTTTTTTTAATTTTGAGATATTAATACTACTGAATATAATTCTTTATTGAGCTCTCCCAATTAGGTTACTGCGCCACTTAGACCCACTTCCTAAATAGGTTTTCAAAGTTAAAGTTACTATATACAGATATATAAGATATATATATATATATTAAGTCCAATTACAAAAAAAAATTCCCTGAACCCTAATTCTCTTTCCATCAGAAAAAAACGAGAGTTTTTTTTTAAAAAAATTTCTTCAAGACGGTTCGTTCAGATAGAGAGAATTTGATATTTTAATAGTTATTTGTAAATAACTTGTATATAGATATACATTATATTTAATTGAGCTTATATAATAATAACCTTAGACGTATTCATCATGAATTTTCACCAAAAAAACACGATTTCACCATCAAAATTATCCTTGAACTCTCTGCGAGAGATATTAGGATACTTTAAAAATGACCCCACAACACTTTATTCTTTACTTTTTGTTAACCGTCAATGGTGTGATATAGCGATCCAATTATTATGGAGGCAACCTTTTGAATTTACCACGCAAAAAAATTACGGCCTTATCATTGAAACTTATATTTGTTGTCTACCAGAATTGGAAAAATCCCGTCTTATCCTTACAGGGATAAAAGTACCTAAACATTCCAAACCATTTTACAAATATTCATCATATTTACGAAATTTTGATAGTGATAAATTTCATCAAGCCTTTAATTTATGGTTAAAGACGAATGTCATCAAAGAAAGTGGTGGGATCGACCCTTTGAATTTATTTTGTAAACCTTTAAAATCTTTGTTTGGACCAATGGTCAGTAATCATTATAACTTGACGCCAAGTAATATTTTACACAAAGCTGTTAACAAGTGTCTTGAACCGATCGTTCAAGAATATTGCTCTACACACCCAAATTCTAACGTTGTCAAGGAAATGCAAAGTTTACTATTTAGTGAATTTAATAGATTAAGAAATCTTACGCTTAGTTGTGGGTGTGAAGGCAGTCTTCCCCTAATGGAAATGATCGATGCATTGTGTATGAAAAATCTTGATGCATTAATTCACCTTCAAATTTTTGAGTTGAACGTACAAACGACGACACAAAATCAAAAAATAGATTTGTCAACTGAACATGATATTTTAGAAAATCTCCTCTTAACGATAGCAAGGAATGCTACCAATATCCAACACATGAAGATCAACGTCCCTCATGAATATCAATTTCCTCCAAGAGTTCACATAGCTTTATATACAATGGTCGCCTCACAAAAAAAACTTTCTTCTTATATGTCAAATTATTACTGGGATTCTGATTTTTCAATTCATTCTGCTCTAATACGTCAAAGTCGATCTTTGAAACGGTTAAATCTTTGGGGATTCACACATTTTGATGATTCATTATTTCAAGGATTAACGAAATGGACAAATCTGGAAACTTTAGAATTGGTTGGTTGCCCAGGTTCTTCTCCAATGTCATGTGGACCTACTAACCATCGATTAAATATAAAGAATTTACGAATTGGAATTGGATATGGAAGTTGCCCTTATATTCAAACGACTTTACTTCAAATGTGTAATACAAACCTACAACAACTTATGATCGAAGGGGTCACACCAGAAATTCTTGAAGAAATTGGTCTACATTGTCCGAATATTACTCATCTATCTCTCTGTGCTTATCAAGATATTTCAAAGTCCTTACCAAAATTAATTTCAAGCCTTGATCACTTGAAGGTTTTAACCCTTGGACATCACGAGAAATTCCTTTTTACCAAATCAACCATACGAAAATTTATACAATCAATTCCTTCTTCTTTACGATTTTTATCTTTAAATTTCAATATTTCATACGATTCTTTGAAAGTTCTCTTAGATGAAAGTCAACCACAATTCTATAAATTAGAATTACATCAAACAAAAACTTTTCACGACCAATTTATAAATATCTTGATAGATTATACAATAACAACAAAAAATCTAACGCAAATTAAATTATTTATTCCCGCTTTTAATCTTGAACAAACTAAAAAGATGATACAACTTTCTGCTCCTTTAGAAGTTGCTTCTCCAGGTTTATTAAAAAGCGCCAGAAAACACATTAATATTTGTTATAGACATGATAATAGAAACATATATAGTTTATGGTAGGTAGTAAACTGATTTAATCAACGGTTATAATTACATTTATTTTATTTTAATTTACAAAAAAAAAAATTCTTTACATACTTGAACATTTTTCCCGCTCTTTTTTTTATTTATTATTGTTTTAAAAAAATTACCTTATTTATTTTATTAGCTTTAATTGGGTTGATAATTGATAGTATTATAACAAACAGTTTTTAAAATAAAAAAATAAACTTAATTATTGAAAGTATTTTGTGAACATTACGTTTACTTGTAATTGGAAGTGAACTAATAAAACGGGAAAAACAAAAATTGGCAATGTCCGAAAATTGCGTAACTGTTTTGTAGATCAAAAATCATTGTCCAAATGATTCACATGACATTTTTTTTTTGTTTGGGAGGCATAATCATATGAACATCTATTGGCGTTTCTATGATGTTGAACTAATTTTAATTCTAAAAATTTTCCCTATTTAGGTAAGAAAAGTCCGAAACTTTTGGACTTTTCTGGATCATGAAAATTCTATGCATATCTCCTCAAAGAATGTTACGCGTCACGACGGTGTGTAATTATTACATAAATTAAAAAAATATCATATTATATTTAACGGAAATATTTTTTTTTTTAAAAAGAAAAAGGTAATGCAAATTCGAAAGAAATCTGTTAGTGAAAATCATGAAAATCTTTCACAAAAATCCCAATAAACCAGGGCTGATTTCACTTCCTGTTGAATTATTTGCGGAAATTTGTAAATGCGTACTCCCAACATCACTTTACTCTCTAACTTTTGTTTGCCATCGAATTAGAAATTTGTTATGGTCATCATCATCTTCATTAACACAAAGAATTTGGAGAGAGTCTCGTCAAAAATTTCATCCAACTATTCATAAATCTGACATATCATAGTACGGAACAAGAATTTATTTGGAAAGTGTTATTACATAAAAAATGTCATTTTTGTTTAAAAAGTTATTTGTTCAATAATTTTAAAAATATTATAACTATCGGAACGTATTGGCCTTTCCAAGTAAATATTTGTGTGCTATGTGTTAAAGATAAAATCAATACGTGAGTAATCTAAATTTATATATATATCTCTCCCTCTCTTTTTTTAAAAAAATTATCTTTCTATTCATGCAGAGATTATACAGAGTTATTACAAAAAGATTGAAAGTTTTATCAATATTATTTGCAATCATAATATGGATCCTTTGACGAATATTTTTTAGTGGCTTTTATTTTTGAAGATCTTGACCAAATTTGTTTTTGAACATCCTATTTCATTTGATTGACTCCCTTCATTCTTCTGTTTTTGGGTGTATAAGCTGGTTTTTAAAATTTCTAAATATTGTATCAAATGTCACAATAGTAACTCTAAACAGTGATGATCTTTGTTGACTATTGTTTCTATAATCTTTATAATGTATTTTTATAACAGAATTGTAAATTGTATTCAGTCGTTAAAGTATTAATTGTTCATTGGATTACTGATAATGTCTTTTGCTGCTTCTTTCGATTTTATCATTCTTAATTTTTAAATTTATTATTTTTTTTTTAAAAAAAACTTTTGGTTTCTGTAGAATTGAGAGGGTTTCACTTTACCATGCATTCATTCCTAAATAATTAGTAAATTTAAAATTTTGAAGTAATGATCCAACTATTGAAAATTTTGTATGATGATATGTTCTCTTTTTTTTATTGCAAAATATATTTCTCCCAATTTGTATGATCTGGTAAAGGATCGGCAAATATACTGTTCATTAGATTGATTAATTTTTGGCCAGATCTAAAAGATTGAACTAAATGTCATACATTTGAATCCCTTAGATCATTAAATTATGTGATACATTAACTATCTAAAATAAATTGTAATCCGTTAAGTTGTGTACGATCAAATGAGGTCAATTCGTTTCGGAAAATAATTTTTTCTCCTTGATTTTTGAAATCAAAAATTAATTTTCTCATGAAATAAGAAATTCATAATTTAACAAAATTCATTTAATATTTTTAAGCAAGTTATATTACAGAATGACGAGAGATGCCGAAAAAAAAGAAACTTTAACTTGTCACGAAATAAGTTAAAGGATTGCAATCCATTTCTCTATGAGCAAAATGTATCAAGAAAGTCAGTCTTATGAAGAAAAATAATCATGATTAAATCCAGAACCAAATAAATTTAAAGCCACAAATAAGAGATAATTCTTTGTATTACAAAGTTAAAAAATTTTTTTTTTCATCAAAATAAGCTTATAAAAAAAGAATAAAAATAACAATCAAGATTGTTTACAAGAAATACAAAACGATTGTTTTATATAAAAAATGCACTTGGCTGTGCTTTTTTTTTTCATCTTTCACTGTGTACTTCCCTCTCTCTATTTTTGTCAAAAAGCCTCAATGGCGCAGACACTGCGCAAGTACTATAATATCAAGCCGTGTATTTAGGTAGGTTTCTTTGCGAATCGTATTCTTGGAAGCTAGTTTAGTGTCAAAAATGACGAGCCAATGAAATTTATATTCATGCTTAAATATATTATTTTTTTTATTCGATGATAAAGTTAAGTGATAGAAAGATTGTTGTAACAATTAAAGATAATTAATATAGTCCGTGACTTTAGGGAAACAATCGCGTATCCATAAAATTTTTATTTGACAAGAAAATATTTTGTTTTTTAGATTACATTATTTTAACGAGAAATTTTCACACAATACAGAATATACAATAAAATTAATTTTTGAAATTTACAGTGTAACGAATTAATTTTTTTTTGATTTGTAAATTTCAATGATAGTTTTTTTTAAAAAAATTTTAAATTTTAAAGAACATGTATAACCTAATTAAAAAAAAAAATCAAATATATAACGTATAAAAAAAAAAATTATTCACAATTAATTAATTCATTATTTTTTTTTTTTTTTTTTTTTTATACAGCGAAAATTAAAAAAAATATATATATAAGGGAGTAAGGTAAATAAATATTATAAAGTTATCGATGCCTGAATTTCTTTTGCATATCATTCCATTGCTTTTGATCCTCCAAATAATAACGAGATACTTCGGCCATATATTTTTTATGTTTTTCTTTTTTTTTCAATAACCAACTCGTATAATCCTTCTTCAAACAAGAATATTCTTTGATTATTGAATTCACATTATCAATCCAATAATACCTATGAACAGGCACGGCGAAAGCACCACCTCTAATCCAAACACATGGCAATGTCTCTATTATATCAATTGGTATATTATCTGCAATTTTCTCAAGCTCTTCATAACTAAATCATTGAAAAATTATCATCATCATTTTATTAATATTAATATTATTATTTAAATTAAAAATAATTTCCAAAAAAAAAACTTACGTTTTGGTTCTTTCGAGTAAACACTTATCACAACAACGAACTCTAAATTCCCAATATAATCTTGAAGATTCATGATCACGATTTCCGCAAAATTCACAACTTTTATCAAAATTTGTAATCCGAATATATTTTTCTTCTTCCATTCCTTGTGGTGGAGGTAATTCAGGATAAGTTAAGAACTTGGTTCTAGAATTACGCCAAATATTTTGAGATGTTGCTGATAAAGGGGTACAACAAAAATTTCGATATTGTTTACAAACAGCCGATAATTTAAAGATGTCAATGGGTGTTAGGTGTTCGCATATTTTAGCAAAGATTTCCGATGATACCGAAGTAACGATTGGAGGCTGTTGAGGAAGAAATGACATTGTTGAAGGGGATGATAATTTATGTTGCGGGGATGGAATATTATTATTATTACTCGGAGACGTTGTTGGTAACAATGTTCCAATTGAGTTTGCTGGACGAATAGAAGGAGTTGTAATAGATGATGCAGATGTGATTGCTGGTTTTGTCATGGTAAGACTCATAATCGTTGACGCAAATTTAAAGTTTGAATCCTTTATTCTTTCGCGAGGAATAAATCCAATTCAGAAAAGTAATGAAATGTGTGGTCCTATTAAATATTATATAACGTATATTTATTTATAAAAGGGATGAGGAAAATTAGGGGAATAATTTATTGCAAAGTAATGTACATTTATTTATTTATTTTTTAAGTTCCAAATATTTTTAGTTTTTTTTTTAATTTCTGCAAGGGGGCTTTTTAATTTTATTTTATTTTTTTTTTTTAAAAAAAACAATAAAAAAAATATTAAAATATTATTATTAATAATATTAATAATATAATTAATAAATAGTAACTAAAAATAAGTTAGGAGAGAGACTAATATGCCGGTGATTTTAGAAAATGGTGGAAAAAAAGCGCGCACTCGATATATATATATATTTGTGAAAAAAAAAATTATGTTAATTTCTCCGTTATTTAAACACTAACTTAGTATACCGTACACTAAGTAGCTGTGCAGTAAGCTTTTATTTTTTTTTTTTTTACAATGTGAGCAAAATACTGGTATCTTTTTTACGGTGACACAGGTCATCGCGACATACCATGCAGGCTTGTCGATTACAGAATTACAGGATGATAGGATGATAAAACAAACAATGTAATTAATTATTGGTTATATATCTTTTAATAATATGAAAGTTTTTGTGCCGCCGAATTAATGGATTAATTTTGATTTTTTTTTCAGGTTTTACTTTTTTTTCTGTTCCGTAATCTCTTTTTTTTTCTTTTTTCTCAACAAAGAATTAAAAAATTTTAATTTAACCTCTTTTAAACAAATTTGTTTTTTGTTCTCCGTTTTTTGCTATCAGCATTAAAGATGGTGGAGCCGATAAATGATGTTTATCAATGGTTTGATGATATATCATCGTTGAGCCGGCGGTCATGGT